TGAAGATGTATTATAGGATGCACATGTTGGAAAAAAAACAGCTTCCAGATAAAAACTATAAAATATGTATACATTTTAATTTTGGATATTTTCCCAGCTTCCCTCATCAAGGTGAAGTAATTATACACCCTAAGTAATTACTTTAAGAATATCATTCTTCACTTTAGCTTATGATCATTTCCTTTTGAGGTCTTATCAGTAAGGCTTAAGAGAATCCAGAATTCCATTTATGTTTATACAAATTTTAACTGCAGCATCTGAATTCTACATTTGCTTTGAGATTACAAGCACACCACATACTAATCATGTAGGTTAGCTTATCACCCCACTGTAGAAAGAAAAATGAATAGGTAAACCCATAATGTTTTATAAAATCCCAAAGCTAGACAGGGAGTTCTGTTTTTAGCTACTTTCAAGGCTTCCAAATGACCATTTGGAATTTGACCTATGGTGTTTATTCTGAAAAATAATCCAGGTAACCCTTGAGGACCTATAGAAAGGCTTGGGTTAAGAGAAGAGGAGGAAGAAGGGGAAATAACAGTGACAGACTGTATCTGTCCCGAGTCACCTCCTGGGGTTTAAGTTAAGCAGCTGGAATCCATTTTATCCATTCTCTGACACAGCAGACAGATGTACTGCACAAATGGCTTGCATTTCACTTTCCATAAAAGCCTAGAACAGTCAGCCCTCCCTACTGAGACAGGACTTTTCATCTGGGTAAAAATATAGAGAGATTCTCAAAAAGAAATGCTGAATTTCTCACTCAGAAGGGTTCATTGTGCTAGACAGTATGGAGAAGATGTCAGTGCAACAGTGGCTTGAAAAAACTGTCAAACTCCTGCATATCACTCATCTTTGAGCTATCACACAAAGAACCTTTCTTAATTTTATTTTGGACCATTTACAAAAATCCTTTTGTCCTTGATTAAGCAATATGATTATATAGATCAAATGCATTTTTAAGAGTCTGTGCTAAAAAACAGGCTTTTGTACTAAAGAGACTTCAAAATATAACAGGTTGATCTTAATTTAAATCCCACAAAATCTCACTGTATAAATACAAAGAACATGATTTTAGTATAATTTGTGAGAACATAAAAACTATACACTTGCTTTTCCTTCCCATTAAAGAATATCTGAACTCTTTTTAGATAGACTTAGGAGCAATTTTTCTTTCAGGAGCAAAATTACTTCACCTTTAGAGCAGAATGAATATCGATTGAAGTCACTTTATTTAACCAATCAACAAATTTTTACTGAGTACATTTTGTCAGGCTCTGTGCCAGGCTCTGGATATTTAAAAAAAAAAAAAAAAAAAAAAAAAAAAAGACGGCTCTTCTCCCTTCTTACAAACAACAAAAATCATAATAAAATACAGGGGTACCTGGGTGGCTCAGTCAGTTAAGCATCCAACTTCAGATCCCACGGTTCATGAGTTTAAGCTNGGAGCAAAATTACTTCACCTTTAGAGCAGAATGAATATCGATTGAAGTCACTTTATTTAACCAATCAACAAATTTTTACTGAGTACATTTTGTCAAAAAATGTGCCAGGCAAAGGAAAAAAAAAAAAAAAAAAAAAAAAAAAAAAAAAGACAGGGCTCTTCTCCCTTCTTACAAACAACAAAAATCAAAATAAAATACAGGGGTACCTGGGTGGCTCAGTCAGTTAAGCATCCAACTTCAGATCCCACGGTTCATGAGTTTAAGCACCACGTCAGGCTCTGTGCTGACAGCTCAGAGCCTGGAGCCTGCTTTGGATTCTGTTATGTGTGTGTGTCTCTCTCTGTCCTGTTCAGGTGCTTGTTCTCTCTCTCTTTCTCTCTCTCTCAACATAAATAAACATTAAAAAAATCTCAGGTAATGATATCACAGGACGTGAGATGAACCCCCACATCGGGCTCAGTGCAGACAGCTAGCTGGAGCCTGCTTGGGATTCTCTCTCTGCCTCGCTCAGCCTCGCTAGCTCTCTGGTCCCAACCCACCCTTTCTCTCTCTCAAAATAAATAAACATTTTAAAAAAAACATAGTTACTCATTCTGATTATTGCCAGCAATGAGCAAGAGATACTCAAGAGACAAGCTCTTTTGGATAAGGTGGGCAGAGAAGATTTCCCTAAGGACATGTAATTAAAGATGAGGCCTAGCAAACAAGGGGAGAAGTCGGCCACATCAAGCAGAGGTTTTAAAGAATTACCATTTCTGGAGGGAAGGTCCCAAGGAGTAAAATCTTAAGCAGTTTCCAAATACTCCTTAACAAGTCAAAGGAAAATGTATTCAGATGCCATTTCTGTTTTCTCTTTCTAGAATTTGTTATTTGGATTATAGAACATCTTAGGCTGACGCTCCAATTTTCTTATACTTTCTTTTTTGCTTTACTTTTGGGGAGTCTTTCTAAAATTTATTTTCCAGAATTCTGTTAAGTTTTTATTTGTGCTCTTATTCTAATTTCAAAGAGCTTTTGATTTATGAAAGCATATCTTCTCTTCTCCCTCTGAGGAGGCTGAGGAGACTGGGAGTTTTCATCTTCCTGTTAGCCAGTCCTCCTGTACTGCCTGTTCATTCGTTCCTCCCTCTCTCCCTTTTGGCTTGTCTTGGTCTCTGCCTCTCCTGTAAGAAATTTGGGGACACGCGGCTGACTGTGCATCTTTAAGGATGGGCTGTGGACAAGCCTTTAGGATCTAAGGGGAGAAGAGGGAGATCAGGTGGAGCTCCACCTACCATGAGAGAGACTTGAGGCCCTTCCTATAGTACCAATCTCTCAGAGACAAGCTCTTAGGTCTGCCTGCAGGATGCCAACCCTCCGGGAGTGAAACGAGGGAAGAAAGCTGGAGGTCCTTTTATTTAGTATGTCAGCTCTACTGACTTCCCCAACTACAGAGACAGGGCAGAGACTCTCCCCTTGCACCCTTTCAGGGAACAAGTCTAGGTTTTCTACACGGCTGGATCAAAAGGCAGTTGCTCCGCTCCATAGAGAAGAGCAAGGAATCACAGATTTCCAATAGTTCACTCTACTTTAGCCCCACCATTCCCAGCCTTTTCCAGAGCCAAGGAGCGCCGCTAGATCCCCAAGCTTTTCTGCTTTTCCACTACAAGCCAAGCCGTCAAATGCATGAGATCTGCTGCCAGCAGCAACCACTTGCTCATCTGCTGTTCAGTTTCCAACTTTGGTTCCTACAAACTTCTCCATTAAAAAAATCTCATTTTAGGGGCGCCTGGGTGGCTTAGTCGGTGAAGCGTCCGACTTTCGCTTAGGTCATGATCTCGCGGTTAGTGGGTTCGAGCCCCGCGTCGGGCTCTGTGCTGACTGCCAGCTCAGAGCCTGGAGCCTATTTCAGAGTCTGTGTCTCCCTCTCTCTCTGACCCTCCCCTGCTCACGCTGTCTCTCTCTCTCTGTCTCTCTCTCTCTCTCCTAGAAATAAATTAAAAAAAACATTAAAAAAAATCTCATTTTAGTTTTCTTTAGGGGCCTTCAGGAACAAGTGGAGTTTAATGATATACATAGAAATCTGCTGACTTTCTCCAGAAATTCCATGTGACCTTTAAACATTTTTATTTCTTATTATGCACTTCAGATGTTAACATATCTTTTTGCAATTTACGAACAACGGGAAATGTAATTCACATCTCTCTTCACCCCTCAATAACAGTCAACACTATCGACTGCTCTGTACTTCATCGGAATAGTCTCCCCAACTTCTGGACGCTACAGTCTCCCAGATTCCCTCTCCTCTTTCTGCCCACTCCTTCTCAGACTCTCATCCCTGACTCATTCTCCTCCACCCACCCACAAAAGCTGAAGTTCCTTTAAGCTCAGTGTTAGGTCCTCTCCTTGTTTTACTACACGTTCTCTCTCTCTCTCTCTCGATGATGTCATTTAAGTTCTTTGCCTAAATGTTAATAATTCAAAAACATATGTCCAATCTAGACTTCACCTGTCAGATACATATCATATCTCTGTATCTAATGGTTTACTTGAATTTCCTTAGATGTCTCAAACGCAGCTTGGATTCAGTAGGTCTATAAAAACAACTTATGATCTTACCTCCTCAAACCTGGACTTCTTTCAGCATTCTGTCTGTGCAGGTCCACCACCCAGGCACATGAGCTATAAACTAGGATTCATCCTGGACATATTCTCCTTCCATTCCCCATATTCAGTCCTTCTCCAAGTTTTATTGATAGGATCTCACACATGTGTACAGTTTTTTTCCCTTTCTCCACATTTCCTGCCAATACCTTTAAACCACCAACATCTCTCACCTGGGTTAGTGAACTAGCCTCCTCGTTTATCTTCTTGACTCTGTTCCCCACATTCTCCACCCTAATCCCAAGCTAAATCTTATATGGTCTTTCCAAAAGACTGCATGAATTTCCACATCTCTGCTTAAAATGTGGCTGATTTATTCACATCTAGGAGGCAGGTGCACATCCTTACGTTCACCAACAAAATCATGAAAGTTACGGCCCCTCTACTACACCAGTTCCATCTCACATCATGCCACTCTTGAGTTTTTTAGACTTTAACCTTACAGACCATCTTGATTTCCTGGAATGCCCTCTGCCTGCCCCGTTCTGCTTTCCAGCACAGGGGCTTTGTATGTGCTGTTCCAGGTGTTTCTCTTTTCCCTAGCTCTAACTTCATCCACAACTGCTCAGGTGTCATGGCCTCCGGAGCAAACCACGCATTCCATCCCGTGCTGCCCTCCGTCGTGCTGTCCCACACTGGTTTCCTCACACACTTGTCTCCCTACAAGATTAAGAGCTGCTTCAACAGCTCTTTGTATCTTCGTGTCCTCAGCAAAAAGCACAGTATCTGGCACCTCATATTTTGTTAACTGTATTGTGAATGACTACAATAGGTCATTTAATATTGAGAAAGTTATCAGTGATAAAAAAAAAATCAATATATACTTTTTGATACATTAGGAAACAGGTGTGATTTTCCAAGAAAATTTTTTCAAAGAGATTTTATAGAAAATAAGCACCAACATTTCCTTACTTTTTTTGTTTTGCCCATTGCCTTCAGGATGGAAAGATTTAGGTCTTCAAGTGCTGCTAGTACATTCTCATATTCTCCCAAGTGCTGAGAAAAATATTCTAAAAGTAAAAATATTGAAAAAAGTTAATGTTTGCATTTAGGTATCCTAAACAACAACAAAGTCAACTGATGACTCTCTAAGTGAGTAAAACAAATTGCAAGCTATAACTAAAAACTGGAAGGTTTTCAAAAGAGACTAAGGTGTCAATATATCCATTTCATTAAAAAAAAACCTAAACAATTACAATTATCCTTGAAGAAATGCTTTTTCCTACAAAAGTAGGAAAAAAAAAGAATCTGGATCTATGGGCAAGGCTATCACAATAAAAACTGTTCTCAACAGCATATTATTATATTACTGTAATACTCATGAAGATAGTCGTTTCAGAAAAATATTAAATGACATTTTATCATTTCTCCCAGGAGACATTTAAGGAAGGTAAGCTCTCCTCATAGTTAAGAACTCATAATGCTACAAAACACAAGGATGGCCCCCTTGGTACCTCCCATGTAACTGCTCCTGTCAGGATTTATTTTTTCAATGGTTTGGGCAGAGCAAAAGGACTGTTTACCACATTTTTAATTGACAGACATAAATAACATATTGGGCATTACAATTAAGAGTATGGAATATAAACGATTCCCAAACAAGTTGAAGTATAGGAGAGATACATGCAAAACTTCATCTTTACTTACAGAGATCTACACATTTCTGAAATGAGAGACCTAGCTTGACCAAAATTCATAGAAAGTCATATGCTGAAAAAGACCTAGACCTTTCAGTCACTAGAAAATCATTAGCCCTCATCATTCCTGTGAACTCATCTTTGGCTGAGCTGTGTTTATTACGCCTCTCTTTAGTGTGTCATTACTATTTATGGAATCAAATAGGATGATAAGCATAATCCGCATAAAGCTGTTTGAAATCACTGAGATAAATTTCAGCATGTTTTATGGAAACTTTAATTTATTTAATACTCCAGATGGAATTATTTGTTGACACTGATATTAGTGAGAAATGGGGAGTACCACTGAATGATTTATTAGTAAATGTGCAGAACTCATCTGAGAAGAAAAATAAACACAGGTGAGCAATAAATCTAGACTATGGCTGTCAAACTATGGTGTGTGTACGCGTGGATTAAAAACACATGGCTTGTTTTTGACAAAAAGAAAATGCATTCCTGATTATGTATTTTTTTTAAATGTGTGGTGCAAATCATCTCCTATAAGGGTTCTTTCAGGAAGGGATTAGTTGGAAGATAAATAAGGAAGAAGATACTCCTTAAATACCTGCTTGACATAACATTTTAATTCTTGGCTGAGATATTGATTTTCTCTGAGTGGTGACCAATTTGTCTGACCTTGTCCCTGCCATTATTTGCAAACGATGAAATCCTTGTGAATAAAACTGTTTATGAACTAGCAAGCAATAAATGTGACTACAGGATATCAATTTTAAAAAATTATTATCAGAATAGAATCCACACTAAGTTGCAACAAGCAAAACACGTGAAGAAAAATTGAAAAAAGTAAAGCTGTTAGCATATTTTTACTTATTTATATACAAAGACTCAAAAAAGATTGTAATGGGGATCGTAAATGTAAGCAGGCAGAAGTAGATTAAGTGAAAAATAGGATATGGTGCTTAAAAATCAGGTTTAAGAAAAACAAAGCAAGATGGAATACCTCCTTTAAAAATATTTTCATAAACACGATATCTGGCTTAAGCAATGAAGGTCCCTGGAGAGACTATAAATGGCGTTTCCACTGTGAAATCAGGTTTATGAAGGCACATGCTGATAAAACACACGGGGAGACAGTGAGGTTTCTGAGCTGACACACCTACCTAGCCTTCATGTCTTCCTTCTTTTATTCACCCACTCATTCATCTCAATTATCAAAGCATTTGGGGGGAAAATTACTCCCTAAGCAATATAGTGGGACACAAAGAAAATGATTCTCAGAACAGAGAGAACTACAGCACCCAAGCCCTGGATAGGAGTTTCAGTGTAAGGGTTATTTTGAGGTGGTGCAGGTCAAAGTCACTCAAATTGTATTATAACTTACCAAGGGGCATGTGTCAGGGCAAGTGGGGCTCCAATGAACTCAAAGTGGAACATGAGATGAAAGAGGCAGGACATTTAACATAGATAAAAGGAAAGAATTCCCAGTCTCCTCTTCATCATGGTGAAGTTTAATATAGTGATTCCAGGACTTAACATATATTTATTTAGTGTCTTATTTAAGGAGCCTACAACCAGGTAGGGGGAATAAACATTCCAACAAATAACTGTTATACACATGATCATTGTACCAGAAAAGGGTCCAAGAACCCAGAAAGCTGTCCTTCAGAAATGGAGAGATAAACACTTTTCCAGAGCGGCAAAAGCAAAAGGAGTTCATCACCACTAGACCAGCCTTACAAGAAATGTGAAAGGGACAGCTTTCAGCTGAAAAGAAAGGGTGCTAATTCACTATTAATGGGAACACATATGAAAGTGTAAATCTCACTGGTAAATGTAAATATATGGTAAAATTCAAAATAATCTAATGTTATAAAGGTGATGGGTTAATCAGTTATAAAACTAGTATGAAGATTAGAAGACTATTCAAATAATGATAACTACAATAATTTACTAGAATCACAAGATAAAAATATGCAAATTGTGATATCTAAAGCATAAAAGTTTTCATGGTGGTGAGGGAGTAAAAATGTAGAGCTTTAGAATATGTTCAAACTTAAGTTGTTATCAAGTTAAAACAGACTGTTATAAACTGTTTTATGTAAGCCTCATGGTAACCACCTATTCTAGGTACACACACAAAAAAAGAAACAAAATTGAAATATACCACTACAGAAAAGCATCAAATAACAAAGGAAGAGAAAAAGAAAGAGAGGAACTACAAAACAGGAAACAATCAATGATAGAGAAATAAGCATATATGTATAAATAGTTTAAATGTAAGTGGACTAAAACCTTCAATCAAAAGACAGAGTGGATGAATGGATTAAAAAATCCATCTTTGGATTTTTGTTGCCAACAAGAGACTCATTTCAGATATAAGGACACAGACTGAAAGTGAAGGGATAGAAAAAGATCTTACAAGCAATTAGAAACCAAAAGAAAGCTGGGGTAGCTATACTCCTATCAGATAAAACAGACTTAGAGACAAAGAAGGTTATTATGTAATAATAAAGGGTCAATCCACCAAAAGGATATTACATTTGTAAATATATAGGCACATGACATAGGAGCACATAAATATAGAAGGCATATATTAACAGATCTAAAGAGAGAAATAAAAAATACAATAAGTAAGGGACTTTATTATGCCACTTACATCAATCGACAGATCATCCAGACAGAGAAATCGATAAAGAAAACAATGACCTTAAATGACACATTAGACCAGATGGACTACACACACACACACACACACACAGAGAGAGAGAGAGAGAGAGAGAGAGAGAGAGAGAGAGAGAGAACATTCCATCCAAAAGCAACAGAACACAAACTCTTCTCAGTACACAAGAACATTCCCAGGCTAGATTAGCTGTTAGGTCACAAAATAAACCTTAATAAATTTAAGAAGACTGAAATCATATCAAGCATCTCACAGTGGTATAAAACCAGAAATCAATTATAAAACAAAAATGCACAAATATGTGGATATTCACAAATATAAATATATAAATGTTTTTATATATTTATAAATATAAATACAATAATAAATATAAATATAAAATGAAAATTCACAGATATGTTCTCTTGAACCATGAATCAAAGGGAGCACAGAATATAACTTGAGACAAACAACAGTGAAAATACAACATACCAAAACTTATGGGATGTAGTAAAAGCAGTTCTAAAAGGGAAGTTCTAGAGCTAAATGCCTACCTACATCAAGACAAGAAAGATCTCAAATAAATACCCAACCTTTGTACTTCAAGGAACTGTAAATAGAAGAAATGAAACCCAAAGTAAGCAGAATGAAGAACTTAACAAAGATCAGCCTTGGGGGGGGGGGGGGTTAATTTACAAGACAGTAGCTATAGTTAGTAATAGTGTGTTACATATTTGAAAGTTGCTAAGCTAAGAGATCTTAAAGTTCTCATTATAAGACAAAGGACTGTGCGGTGATGGATGTTGACTTATTATCAAAGCATATGTGTCAATGTCAATATAGGCATAAGAGTATCTGGAAAGATATGCTCCAAAAAGTCAGCAGTGGAGATTAACATCAGGGAAAAGGGAGGGAGAGGGAGAGGGGGGAAGTGAGTGGGGGGAGGGGGAAAGGGTAGGGGGGAAGGGGTGGGGGAAGGGGAGGTGGAGAGGTAGAGACTGACATTTTGTCTTAGATGCCTACAAAAGTCTGTATTGCTAAAATTTAAAAACAAATTATTTTCATAACTAAAATAAAGCAATATTTTAATAGGTTTTGATTTCTAGGTCCATAATTTATTTAGTTAACTGACTAGGTAAAAGCAACAGAATGAAAGCTGTAGGTACCTGGACCTTTTAACTGGCTTCCCTGAAAGAGCACATAAAATCTGGTTTTCATGCCAGTCAGGCGCCATCCCTCCTGTGCACCAGGGGGAATTTATGCGGGATGTGAGTTGACAGATTTTACTTGCTTGCACTGAAGCATTTGGTTTTGATTAGACTCCAACTTAAATATTTACTTTATATTTACAAAATAACAAGACATGAAACTATACTCTGGAAATTAAAATGCATATTCTTGAGCAGAGAGGGGGAGGATTATAACACAATTGGGAGTACAATCACTGGGTTTAAAAATACAGAGCAATTTGGTTGCATTAAAACCCCATATACCAGTTCCCTAACTCTGGAGAAAATCACAGCCAAAGCTTTTCCTAATAAGTACAGAGTAGGTTTCTAATCTAGTTCTATTATTATAGAAGACAAACTAAACTTTTTTTGGTAAAGGATTAAGTGAAGATACACAATTACACTGAGAGGATAATGTAATACTCCTTAATGACAATACATAAGCAACATAGAAAATAAAGGACAGCCACTGAATGTCTTCAGCTTCAAGCCCTTTTGTAGTTTGCTTTCTCATGAGACATGCCTACATAGGCAAAGGTAAGTAGACAACAAAAAGAATTACGTGGATGATTTGAGGAAATCAATATTTTGGCCTGACTGGTCTAGAAATGGGTCTCCCAACCTCACACAATTATTGTGATAATCTTCTCTCTTCCCTGCTTTCTCTCTCCACTTCACTGGCAGGGACCATCTGCACATAGATGAGAATGGATCACAATGTGACCTTTATAGTGGCTGCTGCTCTTTAGAAAGCTCAGTGGCCAGGGTCCCCATGGGTCCTTTTGTCTACGTGGCACAGTTTCATACCCATGTGTGGATGGGTCATGGTTTGATTATGTGTAAAAGCATGCCAGGATTTTCCCTGTTTTTCTCTGCTAGTGTTTCATAACAAAACATGAACTATTTTGGTACCAAGATACCTTGTTTCTGCATAAAGAGCTTACTTTTTAGTTGGATTTTTCTCACTGAATTTAATACAGAAATGATGTAGGAACAGAGACCCTTGGAAAATATGAAAGCTCATGGTTGGTGATTATCCTACGTGTGTCATTCAGAGTTCTCTTCTGGAAACCTTGTATTCTGATATTTTGCCCTGGCATATCCTCACCTGGCATATCTTCACTTGGTGTTGTTGCTCTACCATTTTTGATGAAATGGAAAGTAACCACTCTTGAATATTGTAACATGGACTATGTGATGATTTGGCAAACTTTAAATTTATAAGAATTTGAAGATATTCAGAAAGTGCTTATGACTTTAATTAAGAGTTTCAAAGAATATCATCTGTAAAATTATTTTGAAGAAGCCTAGACAATAAACTCAAACGTGGACAAGGTGTTATATATTCACCTTAAAACATAAAGCTTCAAACCTCCCAGTGTTCAGAGAAAAATGGCTGTTTCACACTGAATAATCTCACAGTGCACCATAATTTTCTCATAACAAAAGAGAACTCTCAGAGATATTTGCCTTCCCACAGTCCTGGCCTTTGACTTTTGTTTCCAATCACAAAGATGAAGAAAATAATTGAAGAGGCTATTAAATCAGGAATCTGTAGAAATTCCTGTCTCCATTGAAACTTGCTTTGCAAGTGACATTTAAAATTCCAAAATTGTTTAGGCAGGTATGGGACAAAGTTGTTTTTACATGTCAAGGGGGGTCAGTCTTGCAATACACTTGAAAAGAATAATGAAATTGTATTAAACACCAATTTAAAAAATAGATTCAAACTGGAGGAGAGTTTTCTACCATGAAACTAATTGTACCAAATGCAAAACAACTCTCCTCCATGAACAAATTAATGAGTCCCAAGTCTTTCTGCAATGAAATACATGCTTGAGTAAAACTCACAGTTAAGATAACTCCTTTGAGATCTCCATTATCTTTTATATTCCCAAACTCCTAATTTAGACATTAATTTCAGCGTATATACAAATTTATGTAAGATGGTGTTCTTTTTCATTCTAAAGTAAGTAGTGACTTTGATGACCTCCCTCACCCCCAAAACAACTTACCACATAGTTCTTCTGTGTCAAGATTGCTGAAAAGAAAAGAGAATTGTTACTTTGGTAATATTTAAGTTTTTAAATAGTTAAGTACAGTTATTCCTTAATCTATATTACTAGAATAATAGTGGATAAGTAGTTATGGTATTTTTCTTGTAAATTCTACATTGTTTAAATAGTCAATTGTATTAACAATGATTATATCAGATTCCATCTTTGAACAAATAATTCTTGGGGTCTGTGTTTTCCCCAGTGTCATGCTGGGGGGTACTCCATACTGGTGAAGAGTTAGAGGCTCTGGAGCCAGAATGCCTGAGTTCAAATCCTGACTAGACCATTTACCATCCAGGGGACCCTGAGTACTTTGCATCCCTGGGTCTCAGTTCCTCAACCACAAGGTGGGAATAGTACCCACTGTTTCATAAGAATGCAACAGGAGAATGGGTTAATAAATATAAAGCAATTAAAAGAATAACCAGCACAAGATAAGCACTTAAAAAATGTTAGCTATCATGATTTCTGACTTGGTAGAGTGACTAGAATTTCCATTATCTAAATTCAATCTTGGAGGGAAGTTTTGATTAAATGCCTTCTTGGAATGATTTCTAAAACATAACAAAGAGTTACATGGCTTAATCTTTACATATAAACAACAGACACCTTTTATGAAGATAAATATGGAACAGCAGATGAAATATTCGCAGGTATAACACATTCCTATCAGAATAGGGTTTTGACTGAGGAAAGCATGGTTAAGGAATGCAAGAATGGTCCAAAATTAGGCAATAAATACAATACTACACTGTAACTTAAAAGAAAAAACTCATATCAAATACTAGATGAGAAGTTAATAAAATTTTAATTTTAGAAAGTGCATTTAAAATTTTCTTAAGTTTATTCATTTATTTTGAGAAAGACAGAGAGGAAGAGAGAGAATCCCAAGCAGGCTTTGCACGGTCAGCGCAGAGCCTGATGTGGGGCTCAAATTCACGAACTTGTGAGATCATGACCTGAGCCAAAACCAATGGCTAGATACTTAACCAAGTGAGTCACTCAGGCACCCCATTAATTTTAGCAAGTTTAAGTGAAATTGAGGTAAAAGTAAGTCTCCTAAAGATGATAAAGACTTACTAAAAGTCAGCTGCAAACATCAATTAAGTGAAAATCTTGTACTTCATACAACTGGCACAGGTCAAAGCTCAATGTAAATAACCATCACAATCCAGATGTCCTCCAAGTAGCAGTCAGGGTTGCTGGACACTGGGTCATTTTACCAGTCCCGTCACTAACTGCAGTGTAATCTTAAATTCAGGATTCTATCCTCAGACACTGAATATTTGCTCTTGGATAAAGGACACCTCCTCCCTTAAGCAGATCTCTTTGTAAAGCAATATTTGACACCAGACAGAACATATGAAGTCTTCTGCGGAAGTTTTGGTGTAGGTTTCTGCTCATTCATTCATTTATCCCACAGGCATTCACCGCTACATGCCATGTGCTGTTCTGTCATAATCAATCAAGTGGCAACAGATCCTGAGAGGAGTATGTCCGGTCACTAGTCTCTAGCAACGGGATAGAGTTAAACTCAGAGTAAATAATTAAAGTGCAATAAAATTGCTGCTATGGGGGAAGTGGCTGACTACAAGTTTAGAAGGGACTACAGAGGATGAAATTTTGAGGTTAAATAGTAGAAAAGACAGACAAAGGAAGAGCATTCCAGTGAGGAGAAACATTATTTGCAATAACAATTACAAATGCGAGGAGTAGTTTCTGTGGCTGCAACAGAGGTCATTACTGAAGAATGGGACCAAACAATGACAAAAACCTAGTAGGTTTCTATGTTCTCTTGCCAATTTAGAATAATAGAAGATTTTAAAGAAGGTGAGTGACATCATCAGATTTATACTTTAAGAAGCTCACAGACAGATGGGTTGAGGTTAGATAAAAAGAGGGTAAAAAGAGGCCAAGAGACCAATTTGGACACTATTACTAGAGGCTGGGTCAGCTGATCCCAGATTGGAGGGTACAACTCAAGTGGTGTGCAAGGCCATCCACTGGAGGCAAGAAAAAACACTTCAACATTATACACACAGACACACACACACACACACACACACACACTTCTAAAACTTTTTATTTTGAATAATTTCAAATTTTACAAAAAAAAGCATCTTTCACCTAAACCCTCATCAGTTGTCAGTATTTTATTTCCTTTGTCTTATCGCATTCTTTTTTCTCTGTATGTTTCTTGAAACCATTTCACTGTTCACTGAAGATATTCCTTTACCCATAAATACGTATTTTCTATCAACAAGGAAAAAACTTACATACAAGTGAAGACATACCCATTCAAAGCCATTATCAAATCCAATAGTTCTCAAATATTTGTATTTATATTTAACCTTATACCTTTTCATTTTTGTGTAGCTTTACAGTGTATTAATATTAATACAGTGGTGAATACATAGGATTCATAAGTCTTTATATATCAGGATTTCAAGCCAAAAAGCACTACCTAATATGGCATCCTGGAGGAGGGGGCAAAAAGAATAGACAGATGTGAAGGATTTTGAGCTAAACCATCAACACTTGGAATCCTACTGGATTCAGAACTCGATCACTTGGAAATTTTTAGTATCATTTCAAATATTTTGTTCATTAAAACACAGATCATCTCCTAACCTTATTGTTTTCACAGAACTTCAGACTTTCAAAGGACAATAAAGGTCACTTTTGTTTTTGTATTTTCTTCAGAATGGTTCACAGGTTCATAATGAGATTTATTTTTCATTTCAAAGGAATAAAGAGCCCAATCCATTAGGAAAATTAAATTATGTGTAATATATCATAAAACATAGTTCAGAGTAATTTGTATGACATGAGTTGTGCTTGTTCCTTAATAAAAGGCTATGTTCACAAAGTACTATAGTGCTCGTTTCCTCAAATATCCCTTTAGCTCTTTCTTTGCTAGATTGTTTGCAGTGGGTAATAAAGCACAGTTCTTCTTTTTAAATTTTATTATATTGAGAGAGACAGAGTGCGACCCGGGGAGGGGCAGAGAGAGAGGGAGAAGCTTAAGCAGGCTCTGTACTGTCAGCACAGAGCTCCATGCAGGCTCGAATTCATGAACTGAACTGTGAGATCATGACCTGAGCCAAAATTAAGAGTCAGATGCTTAACCGACTGAGCCACCGAGGTGCTGCCGGTTCTTTTTTATAGTAGATTTACAGTGTGTGAATTCTATAGAATTGATTTCTTCCAGGATATCTCCAGCCTGTAGTAACCCGGGATTGTAAAGGAATATTAAGCTATAGAGAAGCCTAGATGATATCTAATGGCATGGGATAGTGTTCCGTTTCTTTTCATGTTTATAGAAAGAAAACCTATAATCTTTTAGCTATGCCATCTTTTTTTTTAAATAAAGCTAAACGGAAAGAATAAATGCTAGTTACACTGTCAACATTCTTATCGAAACAGAACCAGAGGGAGTGTTACTATCAGAATGCATTCTAAGCTAGATGCCAAAGAGCAGTAAAGAACAAACATATTCATTGCAGCCTGACTGACAACTGTGGGGGGAAAATGGAAACAAAATAAATGTTCATTAGCTGAATAACTAAGTAAATTGCATATCATTATATAATCATTAAAATGTATCTACAGAGTTGTCAATAGCTTGGAAAACGCTTATGTTTAGAAGCCATGTAAAAATGTGAAAACAGATATAAATGGTATATATAGAATAAAAAAAAATGTGAGTTGGGAAAAAGTGAAGAAGAATATTAACAGCAGATCACATTGCTTCTGGATGCTAGGACTTTGGGTTGTTGTTTTTTTTTTTTTAATAGCTTTCCAAACCTTATCTTATCATCACAAGGTTTCGTTTATAATGGAAAAAGTATACTTTGTGATAAAAATAGAGTGAATCAGGAAAACATGTTAGGCATAAAAGGTAAAATTCATATTATTCTGTCCACATTATTTAACTTATGAATCTACTTGGTATAAATTATATCTGTCGGTTTGGATTTGCCACTCAATTTTGCAGAAAGCACCACTCAGACACTCCAAGAATAACAAGGATACAATATACACTGCACACCATTCATTCACAAGTCTTGGGGGCAGCAGAAGTGATTTTGATTTGATCTGTGTTGTGTACTCTTAAGTTCTGATGAACTAAACTGCTCTCCTAAGATGTATGTTTATTGTCAAGAAAATAGAAAATATTTGGGAAGTCCAGACTGATTCCTACCTGAGAATTCAGATTCTTTCTAACAGAACCTTTTATATGCCTGCTCTCAATTCTAGGGTCCACCTCAAAACAATCTTAGCTTCACATTAACATTCTTAGTCATCTCTGAAGTACTTTCTAACAGAGTTAGTTGCCTTTGCTGTATAAATAAGTGACTCTCTTACTGAAAAACCACCATTCTAAGCTCCTTCTTTGCTTCTGATTAGTCAAGATTTTTAGCTTCTTCCTCAAAAGTAATATACTGTGGATCTTAGCAGGAATCTTTAAAGTCTAAATTCTAGCTCACCTTTAACTGAATTACCAGCCTGAACATCACCAGTACAAACAGGTTTCTCCTTCAACGGGCAAAAGAGTTTGCTAAACACTGCTAAGCTTCCTAATAACCTAAAGGGGTTAATACTGGCCTTCAAAGAGGCCTCCTTCTAGAGAGGATTTGAGGCAAGGAGAATGTGACTCAATGAGCAACACACTTAGTTCCTCCCTGGTGGGAGCACTGCAGCGATGCCCACTTTAGGTTATCGGCAGACTAGCAGGCTGGCTAAGCAACAAATATGTTCAGCCATCACAGTGTTCATTTTACAAAAGAATATTATGATCTTCCAATTCACTAAGAATGAGCTGAGCAGAATATCTATCATCATCAGAGCCATTGTGTTCAGCTAGTTCTCACATGCCAAACAAAAAGGCATTAATGAAAATCAACAGAAGCAATATCAGGAGATCTGAGTAATAAAGGACCTGACCTTGCAAACAATGCTGTGATAGTTTTCAATTCCATGA